ACTTATTTCCTACTCTGCTATTGCCCATGGAACTGACGAAGGAAAGAACGATTTAGGTTAATAAGTAGAGTTGGGCCAGCTAACCTGCTGTCAATTTTAGTCTTTTAAGTGTTTTCGCGGCCTGAAGCAATACTAGTCGCTTAGCACCAGCTAGTTAAGACCGACAATTAAAGGCCTTTCCTGTATGAATCAGTATGCAGTATACTACTGTTCGCATGATTTAGATTGTGATGATACTTAGGTTAGACTCAGGTCAGATGCACTACCTATGGTCATCGGCAGGAATTTACCACTTCCACTATAATAAATAACCCCTAGAGCGGTTAGCAAATCATTTATTGAGTTTTTTTTAGGTGTGGAATATACTTCATCAGTATTTACTTTCATTATTAACGGATTGTGTACTTTCGAATTTTGTTAACAGTTCTAACGAACAATCACTATTTCCAGTCGGCTGTAAACCGAGGGCATAATGCATTTTTTCACTCATTCGCGAGCGGTTAACACTGTCATTTTTAAGGTTGTAAAAGTTCCCATGGAACAGTCCAGAAGAACACTTGGCGAGCCTACACGTACTTTCGATAAACTATCTTTGGGCCTGCATATTTATATTGGAACGAGGTACAAAACAAAAACTTGTGAGGGCTAAGAGCAATAAATTGAGTTCGACCTTTTCTGCAAACGGGGCAAGTGAATAGTGTGGATTGGGGGGGGGGGAAAGGAGGCAGTCAGTGACATTGAGGGTTGGGTTGAGCCTCGTCTGGAGGGATAGGGAAGGAGGTGAGGGGCGCGGACACAGGCATACAGTTAATCGATCCTTGCCCACGGTAGACGCTGAGCTTGCAAGGCTGCATTGGCCGTTGTAGTCGGCACCTATGCGTAAGAATACGAAGACGTCTGCCGGCATGTTTGAGGAAGGATGAAGTCAAGAGCATAGACAGCTCCATCCGCGTGGATCCCAACGAAACCTTCCGTGCGATTTACTAGGTCCCACCTAAATAACCCAAGTGACTGAGTCAGCACCTATTACCAACAGCAGGGGCAACTGCCGTCAGGCTACAGAGGCCGGCCCTGTGCGCGCAGAAGAACCTATTGCACCCTGCAGGTCTATCGTGGCCAAAGGTCGATTAACTGCATACATGTCTCCGCGTTCCCGTTCACCCCTCCCCTCCCCCCTGCGACAGGGCTCAACCTACTTCTCCCCTGACCCTGACTGCCTCTCCTCTCCCCCCCACACCCACTATTTCACATACCCGTTTGTATATAAGGCGAACCGTGATCGATTGCTCTTATCACTCACACGTTTGGGTTAATACCTCGTTCTAATACAAATGTGCAGGCTCGATGATGATTTATCGAAACTTCGCGTAAACTCGCCAAATACTCTTCTGAACAGCCATTTTTACGAGCTCAGTTAGTCAATTATCACATGACATTCGAAACTGAAAATTTGCCTTCTGTAGCGCTACCTCAGAGCCTGGCGCGTTCGCGCTCACAAATGTTAGTCATAAATTAACCTTCTCAATTGACCCATTTCATTTATTAACTGAATCATCGCATAACATACAATAAACCCGACTTACAAAACGTCATCAATACGTTAAGTATAATTGAAGACGTTTCGTTAACAAAGCAATTTTGGAGGGTTTGCTTCGTAGCTCGAATACATGACAGAAATGTTCGATAAATTTAGTAAGATTTGCCGTCAGGTGGACCTTGGGAATCTTGGACAAAGACTGCGTCTCAGTCGTTTCTGGCTGCAGAATTACTACGCGAAATACAACAGGGAATTTTAAGTTTACTTCGATTTTGAGTTCATTCAAGAGATTCAGGCATGGGTTGCTAAGTCACCAGAAGTCATGTATCGCATCTCCATGTGGTTGTTCCAGATGCAAATACAAATCCTTCGCGTCATGTTTTGGTTGGACTTGATTGCCACCTGTGGAGGTCATTTAAGACCTCATATTCAACAAAATTCTGCAGACCTCCCAAAAAAAATTAACGGTTCTATGAAATATTTGAAGTGACAAATTAATGTCATTTACGTTGTGTGGTAAAACCTGGAATACCTTCCCTATAGTAACTTCTGTCTTCTTAGTCTAGGAAAACGTTCAGACATCGCTTAGACAGACACGTTTTGCATCAAAACCTGTGCTATGATTTGTGCAATTAACGGTTTGACGTGCACAATTACTGAGACCCTGATATTAATCACAGTCATTATATCTTCCTTCTACTGCGATATTTACGATCCCATTTCCTCCGTCAATATAAAGGCATGGAATCAAATATTTTGTGACTTATTCTTTTCACAATGGAATGGAAAGTTGACTACTTAAGAAGAGCAAAGTTAGTGATGTTGTCTTGTTAGTCTCAGAGATCGCTAATTTATCTGAAATCTATGTTCTCGAACGCAGGCAGATGACAACTAGTCTGAACACACAGCGTTCGAAACATCAAAACTACATTTTGGCATCCTACTTAGATTTCTTATTCTTAGCATCGGAAAAAGGCACTCTGATGTCAGAGAAAAACGCCATTAGATAAAAATCATGCGCGACCGTCGAGGCGACAAGCCAGCTCTTAGGCACCTTACTGTAGTCACACTGCCAGCAGTGAGTTCTGCACATTTGCTAGGAGGATTAAGCTAAGTTGCATCTTTACAAGGACATTATAGGTATTGATCCGAAATGTCAGGCATTAGTTGCTGGCCATGCCGCGTCTTCAGTGGAGGCCTGGTTTACAGGTGAAGTCCTCAACTGACCGCAATAAAGGCCAACTGCTTTTTGGAGTAAGCAAAATTACTTGGTCTTGTTTGCATAGTGTGTGTAAGCATAGTGTGGTTTTTGGCAGCAATGAAATGTCTATGATTTGTACTTCTAATTGTGTTTTGTTTGATGGTTAAAACTGTCAAGCCTCCCAGCTCTATTTGTTTATATTTCCCATTATTTCTATAATTTCAAGCGTTCGTAACTTTGCAAGCAATAGGGTTTACAAAAATACTATGCTCATGACCCACTAGTCCTGCTCTGTGTCACAACTATTTCATTCCCTGCAGTGATGGTCCCACATAAAAATGTTTAGCCGGTAGGTCTATTTTTTCCTAGAAGGAGCACAACTTAACATAAAGTGTTTGACTTTCTGCCCATATGTATCTCTACTGATGCTACCCGGCAACGCGCGCATATTTTACCATTCAGTCACGCAGAGTGCTTTTGTAATAATAGGAATTTAACGTTCTTTTAGAGACAGCAATTTATTTCACAGTAGTGTCACGCGTTATCAAAAATAATTGGTATTTCACTGCCGGACGTAGGCGAACATGAGTGGATACTTACCAGTATGCATGTGGCATTTACGACACGCCGTAATTTCAAGGATAAAACAATCATTTTTCGACCTGTGATCACACAATGCCACTTCAATGCATTTCGACGACTGACAAGGATCCATATATGGGAAAATGCGCGCATACTTGTTATTAATGCGGCATTCATTCGATGCGGCATCCGAGGAGGCTTGCTTATGTTTTCAGAAGATGAACACACGCTACTGGATATATTTTGACGGACTTGCACAACGGTCACTAAGCCTAAAATATCACTCGAACCGCAAGTTGAATCCGACTAAATGCTGTGTATACGTCTAAGATCTGATTTAGCGATCAAAATTACTTGCTCGGAGTGCTGGGCTGAGGTATGCAGAGATGCGTTTGAAGTATAATAACATGACAGAAGTTCCTCAGAATAGCTAGGTGGTCATCAAATATTTGAGGTCACGTAACGGCAGTGAGCACTTTTTTGGGAGAGGATTGATATCATAAAATCTAACTCGGACGCTTCAAGAGGCATAAGGTGTTATGTTTATGCTATAAGCCGACAAAGAGATGACTTATGTGTGCGTAAATAATAACAGTGAATAGAAGACTATGGCAATATCTTATATAGATATTTGAACTAAACCTTAAAACCTCAAACAGATCGCGGTAAATTAATTCCCAAGATGAAACCGATACCTACTTTGGTATTAAGTTTCGTTTACTCCAATAAATGTCAGAGGTTACACTGTAGGTCAAGTTTCTTCGTAATGTATACGTATGCCAGCTAGTCTATGAAGGAATAAGTACCATCCTTCGAGTCACAAATTGTAGCATTTATCACCAAACCCTCCAAGACATAACAAGCGGCGATCAACTCAAGATAAACGGCATGCGTCTTTGTTGGAACGTCAGTAGCGGTCGCTGAAAACAATTAATAAATGACAATCCTGCCGGGACTCAGTGTCAGGAATATAAACACGCATCTGACACATACATTCCGGTTTTAGACTATGTAGGTTTGAACACTCGTCGACTGTTTTCAGCGATTGCGAATATAGAATTTTGAAGACTCATCTATTTCTGCAACCAACAATGCTAGGTTTTAAAGTTGGTTTTCCATCAAGTAAACGTTCATTCTCTGCATTTTGACGATAATAGGCCGCAGAATATGATCCTTAGCACCGCAGTAGAATGGAGATCGAAATGTTGTTTTGACGGACGGCAGTGCGTATATGTGATTCAGTGGCCCTACTTATGTCTTTATAAGGAACTGGCACCAACTGGTTTATATCCATGCGTAATTCTAAAAGAATGCACCACACAACATCCTGGAACGCTCGTCTTCGGCAAATTGATGATGATATCACCGGAATTTCTTCTTATAAGTGTTTAACGGCTTATTAAGTTGGTTTTTGTTCTAAACATTAGTAACCTGAGGATAGAAACATTATTCATGCTTGCGATCATTACGTCGTGGACCAAGGTATGTGGACAAACAGCCTTGTGCTTTGGTTGTTTCAAAGCGATATACTATAAGCGGATATGCGCTGTCAGGCGACGCGTGTCAGCCCACATGCTCACGTGCGACCAATGGTGGTGCGGCAGTTTGACTGCCTCCGTGGTTGGTTACTTAAACCGCTATAGTATATTAGTAGTGAATCTGTCTTGGTCTGACAAATAAATGAATCCTCTTATTGTTGTTCTCATCTTGTTTCATTGTGCAGAATGCTGTTTTTTCAAAAAGGGTGAGTCTTTTTGAAGAATTTCATATTTTCTTAACCCATAAGAACTATAGCATAGAAGATTGAGGAAATAATTTGGCTTTGCTATATCCTTACTATACTGAACTTTTCCTGTTCAGCGATTACATAGTAGCGATTCCTGAAACATTCTTTTAACAACAGTCATTTACCTCAAAATGTCCACTGATTACCTGGTTTTGTCATAATTTCATAGTCATCTGTATCCTCAGGAATACCGAAATGTCCAAGAAATGACGAAGATATCATTCCCGATGAAGTCGCTGAATATCTGGCACGTCAGGCCTACCGTCATGGCTTTGGAAAAGTAATATCCCTGGCAGATAATTCACAGTTAAAACTCAAAGTGATCATACATCAGACATCGCTACACTTCGACTGCACATTCTTACGGGATGTAGCACCCGCAAAATACCTACAGTACACATGCCGATCGCAATTTCCTGATGCCAAAATTCATATAAAACATCAGGTAAGATAGTGAAGATGAAATTTATTCGTATTTTATAACTACTTTCTAGTATTTTGCACAACATAATAATTATTATGAATTGCATAATACTTTTTCTTAGGAACGACCCCAGAAAATAGTTACAAACCTCTGGAGAGATATCGGATGTTGTAACTTCATTCTACCCAACTTGTCATTAAAGGCGACCCTCGATATCACTTATTGGAGAAGGGAATTTGACTCGCCAAATAGGATTCGACTGTCCTCTGTTGAGATTTGCAGTTCTCATACAAATGCTCATAAATGCGCTTATGAACCCATCAACTCCAGTTTATTAGGCTTGTTAGATATGTGGTCTCCTGACGTTTATTTATTGTTGAGCCGGGGCTTTTTGGATGTTCACTACAAAGAATGCCTTCAGTAACCATGAACATGGTTTAACTGTCAAAGAAGCAGAACTGACTGCTTTACAATAAGAATAAACGAATACATTTTATATTTTGAGATATGATTTCCGTACGCTTGGATTTTTATATGCATTATGTCTATTCCGCTGGCAAGTCAGTAAACCGAAAGCCATTTTGTACATTTGATTTCAGCCCGTAATATATTTGAGGGTTTTACGCCAACTGTCATCGGTTATAAGTAACAGAATCCATAGACATCAAGATACGCGGATGAAACCAATTAATTTCACCTGTTCTAGGACACGTAGTCGTAAAATGTCAGCTCACAAAAATACGTGGCAGAAGATTCGTCGAGAAATAGTCTGTGTGCTGTCCTTATTTCAAATTCGACCTGAAACAGGGCAAAGTTCAAGGACCGTTCGTAATCGCCAATATATTACCACTTCAAACAAGGCAATGATGATTTGGCAATTATAAAACAAGGCGTCAGGTTCCAATAATGTTCCCTGCCATTGTAACCAGTAAGGCACTATTTAGAACAAATGATCGCATGATAAATCCCTGTCGGGTTAGTATATGTTAATGGTATCGATTTAATTGTGAGACATGAATACGACAAGACAAATCGATTTTAGACCAGGTAAGGGTTCCGGAGCAGTACTGAAGGATAGAACAGACTATGCGGCGAAACTAGGGGAAATACTGTCGGATCTTTCCAAGATTTCGAAATCCGAAAAGGTTGGATGTTGTTGGATGTTGCTTTTATATGGGTAGTAAGATTCACGTAACGATATATTTTATGAGCTGAGGGGACAACTGTTTCATGCTAAAACTTGTTGTTAAAGTTGATTTATTTTTTATCTGTCTGTTTAACCGCATCAAAATTTGATTCAACCAGGTCATGCAGTCGGAGGCATGCAAGTTATATTTAAGATCGAAGCATAACAACTCGATATTCTGCATATATACTCAGATATGATTACAGAATCATGCCAAGGCGCATGCATAACGTAATCTGAAAGAATTTAAATACATTTAAAAAAATTGTAGTAAAGAAACTTCAAGAGTTGCATAACTCAATGCACATCAGTAAGTTATTGAGTAAAACGCTGTACACTAGTTAAATGCTCGAAAAACCTGGTTAAAGACTGGTCATAAGCATTTCCAAGTTGCCTGCTTTGATATGCATTTCAAGGTTATAAGTCATGTTTAATGCGTTAGCCAAGATTTCCATTGAGATAGACCACCAAGATGCATGCAGAAAACTGACGGCCTAAATAATGTAAACGACAAAATAAAAGACATTCTTCAGTTTTCTCCGTAAATTTTCCTGTTGGTTAACCACTTAGTAAAAAATAGTTAAAAGCATTTTGCTCCTAGGAATTCCAAAATGCCCGCGAATCGACTATGGAATAAGAATGGAGCATGTTGCCGAATACTAAGTACGACGGACAAACTACTACGGGTTTGAGAAAATGCTGCTAAAAGGAAACACGATTTTGATATTTAAATTAAAATTACGATTTCCAAATTTACATTTTAAGTGTACGTATTTGCGAGATATATCACCTGCAAATTATTGGCAATACATATGTCTGGCTCCAATACCAGATACTAGAGTAACAATAATAAAGCCGGTAAGAAGTGAAAGTAAAACTGCAAGTTATTAACCAGATTGTGACGCATATGCATATTTAAATGTATATCTTGTTCACAGACTTCAAAATTCATCTAAATGTTTTATTATAACGCATTGTGTTGCAGAATCTAAAATCCGGAATTTCTTATGATCCGATGAACGAATTCATTTATGCGCGGCACAAACTCCACGGTTTAACATTAAAAGCTACTGTCGACATCACATACTGGGAGGAGGAAAATAACCCGCCAAATATGATTCGACTGTGTTTGTTGGAGCTGTTCCACGCAGGCACAAATACTGCAGGAAGTTCATACAAATTCACCGACCCCCATTTATTAAATTTGCTAAATATGAGTGAGACCGACTTCAATCTTTTTGTTACCGGAAGTTTTCTAAAGGCCCCTTCCACAGATTGTCATCAGTAGTTATTAGCAGTATGGACCATTGTGCGTTATAAGAAAGGCAATCTCACAGTTGTGACAAATAACGTAATTTGTTTAAACATACAACTTTCGCAATTTGCAAATAATCATGAGAAATGAATTTCATTTTTAGACACATTTCCTCCTTTGTCAGACTCCTGCAAATATTGGATGTTACTAATTACTTGGCCGATGATAAATTAACATGGCCAAAATAACCATCCTTTTAACAATGGATTAAAACATGGTAAATTGACAAACCTGATTAAAAGTAATTGCACTTGTTTGTGTTTCAAGCCACGTTATTGCAGAAAACACAGAGACAACAATAGGGTGTAGGACCCACAACTAACTTGAGCTAGATATGTGTGTCAAACGTTGAATGGTGATAGAGAGAGTTTTATAGGTGGGACAACACATATGAGGGAAAGCAAGATCACACAGAAAATAGATGAGTTTCAGTCAAGATTCATATCGTACACTGACATTTGAGAAGGGCCTGAACACGATAATCAACAAAATGAACAACAAACAATTTTTTTTTAAAGTAACGGAATTTGATTTAAGCGGCGCTGTTATGTTGTCATTTAGTCAGTCAATTTAGGCGGTTGTAAACATTATGCCCGAAGCCAAAAGTTGTATACTCAGTCGCAGTATATTTAAGGATGCATCTATGCAGTTTTTGTATACATGTGGATGCCTAGCTCTAGAGTAACTACCACAAGACAAAGGCAGACAGTTCAGACAAAAAATGTTCATGCAGGTACTCTTCGGTGCAGCAGAGGGCTCAGTATGTCTTTCAAGCTTGAAATTTCATATTTGAATTTTGGCGTTTTAGCGTCTAACATAGCTGGAGAAAACTGCATACCTGCTTGTAAAATCAGAATTGATGTGGATATGCAGCAGTGTCAAGTGCGATCATGAACACACATGAGCCCTTTAGAGAAGACAATTCCAAGTATGTGCGTCATCGCGTGCGTATAATAGTAACCTACGTTGAGGGGTGCAATGTTTTACGACAACGTCATTTGTAAGATTGATTAATCCACTTGTATTACTTACAGAAATTGCGCTTCCTCTGATAGACACATTTGATAATATGGCAGTTAACACAAAAAATCTGTGTTGCTACTTGTCTCACAGATGAATGAATAACGACAGCAAATCTTCGATCGTTAAGTACCAATTCTTGCAGTGTCAATTTAGTTATGGGTTGAAATAAGACTATGTTCAAATGTCAGGAAGCTTTACTCGACTGCAATCATCATAACTCGATTGCGAGAAGTGCATGCTTTCCCTTATCATCTTTTACCAACATTTGTTAAGGTAAATTATCACGAATGCGCAATTTTCCGTAAGTATCTTTGTAGAAAACAACACCCACAATTTTGAACTAATTTTAAGAACAGTCTTAACTGTGTAAAAAAATGTCGCATGATTCAGTGCAAATTTGGTACGTCCTGAGCCTCACTTTCGGCTTCGTAAATATTTCTGACGACTATGGACATATATGTAGGACTTCTCAAATGCATAACCTGAGGCGTTTTGGAACCCCGTTGCAGTTTATTGCTGATCTTTGATCATTCGTCACCGTTTACTTTGTAACTCTGCGCCACGACTTACTAGGAAGAATCTTCTTTCTCTTTTGAAGCATAATGCCAACTGCAATCCGCCGCCCATTTGATGGGCTAAACGAAGCGCAGGTTTGCAGCCTGAATACACGTTTAAAATGGGTTAGGTGAAGGGAAAAGGGCAGATAGATAGGTAAATAATGAACTTTGCTTAGAAGCCGCCCATGTGTTCCTACCAAAGCACAGATTTGTCTTCAGTTGCGTACTCGTGTTTTGAGTGGGCGGGACGACGGTATATCGAGTTTGCTGTACGAAGCGTGGCATTCAACCAACAATTCGATTTATAGACTTATTGATCTGGTCACCTTTTATCAGACACTTTGAAAACAACAGCTGCCTAGCTAAATTAATTCTCGCGAAGTTGTGTGATTCCCTTATCCCTAGGTGCTGGGCACGAATACGCGTACGAAGCATTAATGATCAAGCTACTTGCCCTAGACATAAAGGTACGAGGTTAGATAGAGCTGATTGCCATTCATCGCGGGTTGTAAACGGTCGCCGATGCTATGCAAACTACATTCGCCTAATCTGCACTGGATTATAACGGCCGAGAATTGCCGGTGGACTGTTGGAATGCGCTCTCAAATTCACTTAAATTAGTCTGTCGCGCAGAATTTCAGAAATTATTTAGACAGCATACACAAAAACGTACTCGATAATATCGTAGCGGCTACAATAAAGCTAATGCTGTGCTCACTACGATTTCCAGACACAGTGGCGAATCACAATATGAAAAACGTGATGATTAAATATATATTTGTGATAGGAAAATGCTGGGCCTCATGCAGCGCAATGAGTAGAGCAAGGAGTCAGAGTAGAGCATGAGTAGAGCAAGCGTTTATTTCGAAAGTCCATCCCACGTCGGATTTAACTAACATGCTTTATCAGCCTATTATTCTATCCGTCAGTATCGTGTGTTGCTGCTGAGCATCGTTGCAGCTCAAATAAAGAATTTGCAAGCGGACGGCTTATTATTGCAGGCATTTTTTAAAATGATTATTCGATCTCTTAAATATAAGATGGAAAATAACTGGCATAATTGATTGGAAAATGTTTGAATATAATATAATATAAAAGCGTCTGGAGATACACGTCGTATTGAAACGCACATGCATCACGAATTATTGTGCACGTACAA